TTGTTTGGGTGGGGACCTTCTCATTCATGTCCTAGCTCCTTTCCCAAATAATCTATATTCATATCATCCCTGTTATCAGCTGTGAGGCTAGTGATATCTTGGAAGGGAGGCTGTCCAAAGCAGAAAGCCTGCAAGATGGCTGGTCACTCCCAAAGGAAATGAGGTCACCAAGGGGGCTTTGATGTGAAAAATGAAGAACCTTGACAGGAACCTATCCTCCCCTAAACAGAGAAACTCAGAATTGGTTAAAAGATCTATCCAGCATCATTTCTAACCACTGATCCAAAGTAGTTTTCACAAAACTCAGTCTGCTAGATTCCAGGATGTGTTCAGGAGCTGTAGAAAACCGGTGAGACGATTTCCAAGAAAACAGTCGATCTCCTTGACACCCAGTGGACAGATGTATCATAGCACAGTTATAGGAGGGACAGAGGAGTGGGAAATAACAGAACCAGGAGGGTACAATCATGCCACCCATATTCAATTTCCAGTTTTATTTTCTTAAAATGACAAAATGATAACACTTCTAAGAAGCACCATTGAAAAACATTGCCCGGCCAACTTGAGCACGAGCTTAAATATTATTTAAATAATTCCATTTCTTACAAAATACAGGACCTTTTAGAAACTTTAGACTCCAGGAAGACATTTCCCGCATCCTATCCAAAATGTTTCCCATCACAACAAATGGAATTTCTGATGGCCTTTAAAAAAAAATGCTACGGGGGATAATGGCCAGATAGCACCAAGAGCTTGTGCAGGGGTCCACAAAGCGAACACTCCAGATTGCGGGGGAGCCGGATCAGTCTCAGCTATTTTGTGTAACTTTGCTTTCTGTCTGTCACCAATCTGATTATCGAGAGTGATCCCATTTGACCAGCTGTGTGTAAAATAACCCAATCTGCAATGGAAAAGCCAGTAGCAGCAAGTCTATCTGATGAAACCAGTGGAGCAGACTTATCAAGTGAGTCAAATGCCTATAACCACATAACACACGGAGTGAGTTACATGTGGAAAAGTATCAATGTTCAACTGTGAAAAACTAAGACAAAACGACACTGAACACAACTCCGCAGGATGTTCTGAATGCCCTTAGGTCCAGTTTTCTGCCATTTCCCCCCACGGTGGACTCAAGCATGAGAAATGACAGATGCAAGAGCTTTCTCTTTGATTTCGATCTATGTCTGCTCTTGTGATATTTTTGAAAGGTATTTTTAGGCATCTCAAAGGGGAAACAAGCAAGTAAATGCAAAGGGTAAAAAAAAAAAAAAAAAAAGGATCTTCAAAACCAGGGCAGGAAATCAAATCATTACTTTAACGTCAAATTTTGGCATCAAATGCTTTGGTCATACAATACTGTCTCTATGCTTCTGGCTGTTTAGCACTAAACACCCAGTTATAAAAGGTAGGCTTGTTGTAGGTTTATTTTTTTTTTCCATTTAAGTTCTGACAAAACAGTTCACCATCTCCCTGCACAAATTTGAGAGAGAGAGAAAAAGAGAGCAAAAAAGAGAGAGGTGGCTTGCTTTTTTTTTTTTGCTTGTTTTTTTTTTCTTTTTAATAATAATACGGAGTAATCTATAAGTCTACAGGAACAAAGAAATCTAGGACGCAGCTCAGCCTTGGAATGTACATGTTTTGCAGCAAAGTTGTTGAAGAACCTTCCGTTGGCATAGATTGTTCTTTTTCACTAGCATACAGAAGCCTCCTTCGGCCCAGGATTCTTCCGTTGCTTTTCCAGGAAGTCAGCAAGACAGAGGGGGAGTTGAGGATGAGAGCAGCATGATGCACACACGGAAGAAGGTTGTGATTGGCCAGAGAGGCAGATTGGGGAGTGGAAGAGATCACATTGAGGAACAGTCAACAAGGAGGAAATGTGGTCCACTCAAAGTGATTTCAGTCAACACCATTGTTTTTCAAGCAGAGAGATTGCAGTCCAATGGTGAATGTGATTGGTGCCCGTTTATGAAAGGGGGGAAAAAAAAGTTAGAAAAAAGAATAAATTAGAAATCAATAATAACATAAGCAAGGACTTTTTTCTTCTCAGAATTACCCAGAGCAGAGAGTATACAAGTCATTTATACGATATTTCACTGAATCTAAGACACTGGATTTAAGATGCACTGCTATTTTAAGTACTCCCAAGAAGAAAACATACTTCTTATTACATTCTTATCAATTAGAATATTAATTTTATCCTTTGTGAAATGTTGGTTAAATATTAGTTCTAGAACTATGCTGTTGTGTTTCTGTGTTATTAGCAAAAATTCTTCCATTGAATATTAAAAAATCGTTTCATTTTTTGAGGCGCTTTGGAACTCCCATTAAAGTCAACATGAGAAGTAGTAACCACGTGCCTAACTCAGTTGACTAGACCTTACTGTGACTAAGTCAAGAGGCAATGACAACTATGTCACATCAGCCTACTGGTCAAAAGCAGTTGTAAGCTGCCATAAATTATAAGATGCATCTGATTTCAGAGATGTTAAAATGTAAAGAAAAAAAAAGCATGTCTTAGAATCATTGAAATATGACAGTTGAGAGAGAATAAATCACAAATCCCTAAATGCAATCGCTGCATGATTTCAGAAGCTGTGAGCCATGAGTGACCTCATTATTTAGCTGACCTGAAAATGGACTCCATACAAATGATGCTTCTTCGTTTCCTACTCTTGCCCACGATCCTGACACCCCAGTCCTACCAAAGTGCTGTTTAGCAGAACGTATCCCGTGTTTACCATGGTTTAGAGAAGGCAGTGAAAGCATCACAAATGTGGCAATGCCCGGTCGCAAGCGATCAGGGGTCTTCCTCTGTTTTCCGTTACTAACTTAAAAATTCTGGTCCCATCCAGCTATAGGGGAGCCATGTTGTAAAGTAAAAAGTGATACATGGTTCCCGGGGTGCCCTCACCCCAACCCTCTGTCCCTGTGTTGTGTGAGCCCGAGTGGGTCTGGCCTAACTCGTGTTGGACCCATCCTACAGTCAACAAGCTATGAAGACACAAAGTCACCTATGACGCTCTGTGGAAATGAGACCATCAATCATGTTCTATAGGTGCCATCATGTGCCTCGTTCTTTTTGACACCTTTTTGAAATTCCTAATAGGAAGTTTTAGAATCACCATACAAGGTCAAATGTATTAGCCTCCTCATGTTTACAGATGAGGGAGGTGAGGCCCGGAGTAGTTTATCACCTGCCCAAGATCTGGAGCCCAAAAATGAATGACAGTATTCTGATCTCTGAATCCACATTCTCCCAAACAGAGCACTGTTGTGCCTCTTGTGAAATTTCTAGAAAAAGGCCCATTTCAAGGAAGGCAAATAGTAAACCAAGGGAAGTGCTCTTGTCTGGGAAGACTGTTCCCAATGCATACTTTTAAATTTTATTTTTCTGTTTCTGTAACAATCCACAGATATTTAAAAATAACGATGGTTCACAACACTTTCTATGTCATTGAGATGCATGTCTGCATAAAGTGCAAGCTCCAATTTTAGGGCCCCCTCCATGTGAATTATACCAAATTGAAGTTCACAAAATGCTAAAGTTGGAATAATTTAAATGTCTTCATTTATAAATGGGGAAACTGAGGGTAGAATACGGAGGGGACTTGGCATTTGTGAAGTTGTCAGGGCGAATGGAATAGCAAGACGTCCCCAAACCTCACTGCATGTTAGAAACACTTCAGAAGCTTCTAAAAATATCCACGCTTACTTAGATGGCACCCCAAAATCAATTTACTATGAATCTTTGGAGGAGGTGTGTGGTCGAGAACCACATGTGCAAAGAGAGGAAAAATGAACCGACATTTGAAATCTTAAGTTCTATACTTGGTTCTGTCATTAATTCCTTACCCCACGGGCTTAATGAAGTATTCAGATACCATGTGATCATTACTCATGTATCAAAATCTTAAATGATCCCAATCAAAGGAATGGCAATAAACTGGGATCGTCCCATGATAGAATTTTATGCTGTCATTAGAACTGAAGTGTCTGAGGACTTTGTAAAAACACAGGATAACGTTTATGTCTAATGCTTCATACAAAACACAGGATACAAACCTCTACAGACATGGTATTTAAAAAATCAGATCAAAAGCACATATGGCAGAAGATGGAAAGAAATACATGGAAAAACTAGCTGAAAAAGATTGCATTTTATATTCTAACTATATGACATTCTGGAAAAGATAAATCTATGGAGACAGTAAAAAAAAATTGAGTAGGTTCCGGGGGGGGGGGGGGGGGGGGGGGGGGGGGGGGGGGGGGGAAGAGGGGGGTGGGGNGGGGGGGGGGGGGGGGGGGGGGGGGGGGGGAAGGATGGAGGGATGGAGGGATGGAAAGGCAGAGCACAGGGGGTTTTTAGGGCAGTGAAGGTGTCCTGTGGGGTACTCTAATGGTGGATACAGGTCCTTATAGAGTTGTCCAAACTCCTAGAATGTACAACACCAAGAATGAACCCTAATGTCAACTATGGACTTTGGGTGATAGTGCTATGTCAGGGAAGGTTCATTGATTATACCAAATGTAACCACTCTGGTAGAGGAGGCTGATGTAATGGGGGAAGGTGTGTGTGTGTGTGTGTGTGTGTGTGTGTGTGTGTGTGTATGTGTGTGTCCCCGTGTCCGTGTCCGTCATGGGCCAGGGAGTCAGGGCATACATCAGATCTCTCCGTACTTTCTGCTTAATTTTGCTGTGAGTCTAAAACTCTAAAGTTAAAAAAAAACAAACCCACAAAGTTTGCTAACTGAAAACCTCTAACTGGTACCCTCCTGGCCAATAGAAATATAGGTGATTTATTTCTTCTTTTAATTAAAAGAAATGACCCAAAACCCAAACCCACTGAAGGTGTAAGTTGAAGACGAATGAATGCCAGCATGATACTGGGCGTGTTCTATGTGACTCATGCTTGGTAGTTTCTTTAAGTGGAACTGTATTAGATCTCAACGTAAAAAGATGACCCTTAGCTCAGAGGATCAAACTGAGCAGTTCGTACTCACCGTCCTTGCAGATGGCTCCCATCTGACACGTCCCGAGGTCTAAGAGATACCCACTAGGGCAGCTGGTGCAGTTCTTGAACCCCGGGCCATTGCATGTCAAACAGCTGGGATCACATCTATGGGGAAGATGTGTAATTGGTTATCCTTTCACACACTGGTTATGAAAAAAGATGTTAGCCATCAGCCTCTCAATGATGTTTTAATTTTTTTTAATGTTTATTTTTGAGAGAGAGAGAGACCGAATGTCAATGGGGGAGGGGCAGACAGAGAGAGAATGAAAGAGACACAGAATCAAAACAGGCTCCAGGGTTTGAGCTGTCAGCACAGAGCCCGAAGAGGGGCTCAAACTCAGGAACAGCAAGATCATGACCTAGGTTGAAGACAGACGCTTAAATGACTGAGCCACCCGGGGGCCCTAGCTCTTAATGACATTTTAAACTTTGACCGTGACACAGAATCTTTTTCTTACTGTGATTGCTATGTCTGATGACATTAAAGAAAGCCTAGCCAGGGAGATTGTGTGATTTTCTTATTTATTTTTATTTTTGTTTATTTATTTATTTATTTTTGAGAGAGTGAGAGAGAGAGAGAGAGAGAGAGAGAGAGAAGGTACAAGTGAGCAAAGGGTGGAGACAGACAGAATTCCAGGAGGGGCAGAGAGAGAGAGAGAAGGGGGCTCACCCAAAGCAGAGCTCGAACTCACCTGACGTGGGGCTCAAACTCATGAACCGTAAGATCATGACCTGAGCCCAATTCAGATGCTTAATGACTGAACCACCCAGGTGCCCTGGATTGTGTGATTTTAAATGGGAGGATGCAGGTACTTGGAACAGAAATATTACCTTAAAGGTTTCAAGTGCTCCTGAGACCAAACCCCAAAAATATTAAATGTAAGTTGGGTTAAAGCCATGGGGCGGTGTTCATAGGTCGATGTCGGAACCTCACTTGATTAAATAATTCTGGAGGTGGTCAAAGAAGGACCCCAGGAACCGAGTGCTAGGGCTGAAGAAGGTGGATCTGCTTACTTTTTGCAGGATTTGTATCCGTTCTCTGCAGAGTGGTCGAAGTAATAGCTGATGCTACAGGTCTGCACGCACCTGCCATCCTCCATGAAGTAGCCCTCAGTGCAGTTAATACACCCGGTGGCGCCCGCCCCTGAAAAGCAAGACAAAGGCAGCAAACAAAAACAAAACCTCAGACGAGGCTGCATGACGGGCTGCTTCTTGCATCGTGTGTGAAAACAGCATTGACCTGTTGTCATTTTCAGAGTTCCAATTTAACAGTTGCGCTTTTTCTTCCATTCTTTGGGAAGAACCCACTCCCGTTTTTAAATTGAAACTAAACACTCCCATTTGCCAAAAACATCACATCTCTTTAAAAAGAGGAGATCTCACTGGGATATTTAAGCATCTCGAGGAGGGCAGAATGCAGATGAAGGACTCTGCATGAGAATACGTGCATGAGTATTGGAAGAGACGGACTTTAAAGATATGCAGTGGGTGTGTATGGGTGATGGCTAAGAACAAACGGACAAGAGCCAAATCAGAGCCAGAGGAGTGAGCAAAAAGATGGGGACAAGGTACCAGCACAGGTGGCGCAGAAGCGGTGGCAGGGCTGACAATCCTGGCCGTTGAAGTACTGCCCATCCTCACAGGTGATGGAGCACCGCGACCCCTGCAGGCTGAAGACACAGACACAGAGGCTGGGATCAAGGCACCGAGGTAGACTCCCCAGGTCCATATACAACAAATACAGGTTCCCTCCCCCCAGAGACTGGTGGTTTGGCAAAGCTTCAAAGCAGGGGAAATAGCCTGTACCCTGCTTCCCCCGCCCCCCCACCCCATGCCTCTACTGATGTCTGTAGCCTCTACATGTGCTGCAAGTTCTGTGGACATTTTTCTGAATTGTTAGACGGGCTGACACGTTCCCTCTTTGTTCCACAGCGTACAACCTGGATATTCTTAAAAGTATTTTGTGGCCAAAATCGTTACCTAACATGTCTGACAGCTCTGATACCCAGGCGTACTACATAATAAGTTCAAAAGTTGTTTTGTCGGGGCGCGTGGGTAGCTCAGTCAGGTGAGCATCTGACTTTGGATTTCGGCTCAGGTCAGGATCTCACGATTCGTGAGTTCGAGCCCCACATCGGGCTCTGTGCTGATGGTAGGATGAATTACAACTGCATAGAAGGGCATAATGATCTCTGACCAGCCCACACTTCCAGGAGTAGCTATTTGTGTGTGTATTTGTTTCGGATTTTTTAGTTCTTCTACTGGTTCTCATCAGAACAACACAATCTGATTATGCTTTGCCTCTATTTCTTGACTTAAATTCTAATGAATAATTTAGTAAAATGACCTCCCTATACTGTAGATTCCCCAAACACCCCAACTTTTCTTAGTTATATTATTACTTCCAGATGTTATCTGTACTGTATTTTCTCTATGTAGCACTCTTAGAATCTATTTAATTGCCAGAATGTTGAATGAGGAATCCATAGTTTTTCTCCCTTCTAATTTCTATCACTTATGATACTTTGCTTAGTGTACAGGTTAGTTCTTTTTTTTTAAATTTTTAATGTTTTTTATTTATTTCTGAGAGAGAGAGAGAGAGAGAGAGAGAGAGAGAGGGAGACAGTGTGAGCAGGGGAGGGTCAGAGAGAGAGGGAGGTACAGAATCTGAAGCAGGCTCCAGGCTCTGAGCTAGCTGTCAGCACAGAGCCCGACACGGGGCTTGAACCCACAAACCGTGAGATCATGACCTGAGCCGGAGTCGAATGCTTAACTGACTGAGCCACCCAGGTGCCCCTCTACAGGTTAGTCCTTAAAAGAAAACACAACTTATGACATTTAATATGCAAATATTGCTCACTGAATAGTGTGATCAGAACTATACTTTAGGGTTTGTAATGCTACATCTAGATTAGAAGATACTAGAAGATGGGTATCTAAGCAACAGGGTCGGATGGGTTTTATTCTCTTAGACTCTTTATATTCTCCAGTTCACCTCTTACTTCACTGTGCTTTGTATTTGCATCATACTTGAGAAAGTAAAATTTATTTTTCCCTATGCTTAATAAATTTGAAAAGAACAAAAATAGATTAAAAAAAAAAAAGGATCCCAAACAGTCCGGTTAACATTGTAATCCACTTCCTTCCGGTACTTTATGCATATGTCTTTTTCTGTGTCTGTTTCTTAGCCATGACTGAAAAATTTACAGGTGTCTTGAGGCAAAATGCCCAACCCTCAAAGCCTCTGAGGCAAAGGCAGGCAGGTTCAAGGAGACAGAGGGCAGCGGAACTGAAAGTGGATCCCATTCACAGATCTTACTGGCCAGGGAGAGAAGTTTGAAAAAGCCAATAAAAGGAAATCCTGTCCCTTTTCTGGAGAGCTGGGGAAAAAAGGACGTTGCATCCGATGGGTCCCTTTTGTGGGATGAAAGAAGACCACCAAAAAATGTACCAAAGTTAAAAAAAAAAAAAACCTGCCCCGTTTTTCTAATCAAGGACATTCCTTCTGAGCTTGGCATTTATTCAGCATGAGACAGAGGCTTTCCTGTGCGAGGAAGAAATGAACTTAAGTGCGTCGTGCAATGGACAGCAGTCACTGCACGTCCTGAAGCTTTCTGCAGCTTCTAACATAGAGTGGTGGTGGCACACTTAACCGGCTGCTGCTGTGAACACCTGGGTTCTTCCTGTGATAAACTGCCTAGCTCAGAGCCGTGCTGTCCCTTTTAGAACTGTACTTTTTAGCACACAGGGCCCCCAAGCGCTTAACAAGTGGCTGGTGTGGCCAACGACTGGAATTCTAAATGTTATTTAGTTTTAATTAATTTCAGGGTCGCCTGGGTGGCTCAGTCAGTTAAGCGTCCGACTTCGGCTCAGGTCATGATCTCACGGTTCATGGGTTCGAGCCCCATGTCGGGCTCTGTGCTGACAGCCAGCTCAGAGCCTGGAGTCTGCTTCAGATTCTGTACCTCCCTCTCTCTCTGACCCTCCCCTGCTCACGCTCTCTCTCTCTCTCTCAGAAATAAATAAAAACATAAAAAAAATTAATTTCATTCTACATGTTACAAATTGGCACTCGGTTCAGTTATTGGCAAAGTTCTGAGTAAGTTTGGAACAACGTGGCTACATAAAATCTACTTCAATTTTGTACAATCTAAATGCAGATCTAGTATTGCTCCCTAAAAAATTGCCACCCACATTGAGATGTGGGACGTGCTTCATGGGTAAAATGCACATCAGATTTCGAATATTTGGTATAACAACAATCTGAGTCTTTTATACTGATTACATGTAGAATGACAATATTTTGGATATATTCAGTTAATATATTTTTTAACTTTCACCTGTATCCTTTTGCAGCTTTTAATGTGGCTACTGGCATATTTAAAATGAACATATATGGCTCTCATATTTCTGTTGGAGAGGGCTGGTCACTAACTCTGTAAAATGTTCCCAGAGAAACACAGTTGACTCTTGAAAATGGGTTTGAATTCCATGAGTCCACTTATAAGTGGATTTTTTGGGGATAAATACAGTACAGTACTATAAACGTAGTACCTTAGAATTTTCTTCCCTTTAGGCTTACTTTTTGTAAGACTAGAGCATATAATACATATAACATAAAGTATGTGTTAATTGAGTGTTATTTGTGAGACTTGTGGCCTACAGTGGGCTACTAGTAGTTATGTAGTTAAGAGTAAGTTAAGGAGTTGGGCACCTGGGTAGCTCAGTCAGTTACGTGTCCAACTCTTGATTTTGGCTCAGGTCATGATCTGATGGTTCATGAGATCGAGCCTGGTGTCTGGCTCCAAGCTGACAGAGCAGAGCCTGCTTGGGATTCTCTCTGTCTCTCTCCCTCTCTCTGCCCCTCCCCCACTCTCTCAAAATAAATAAACTTTACAAAAAAAAAAGTAAATTAAGGAGTTAAAAGTTATATGTTATTTTCAACTGCATAGGGCTGATGCCCCTAACCCCTGAACTGTGAAAGGGTCAGTTGTATAGAAAATAATCTTTATTATTTATTTTTTAGTGAGACAGAAACAGAGCATAAGCAGGGAAGGGGCAGAGAGACACACAGAGAAACAGAATCCCATGCAGGCTCCAGGCTCTGAACTGTCAGCACAGAGAGTGACACAGGGCTGGAACTCACAAGCCATGAGAGCATGACCTGAGCCAAAGTTGGACACTTCATCGACTTAGCCACTCAGGTGCCCCTATAGAAAATAATCTTAAATAACCTTTTATTTTTCATGGACCACATGTGTCCCATATTGAAAATAGGTACTTTTTAAATGTTATCACAATTAATCCTATCATAACGCACAAGCTGTGAGATCATGACCTGAGCTGAAGTCAGACACTTAACCAACTGAGCCACCCTGTGCCCCGAGACTGAAAGTCTTGAGATGAAAGGAAATCAAATCAGTACTGAATGCATTTATATATATATAAAAAAGGGCCACAGATAATCTAAATAAAAATGATGTTCTGATATTAATTAGTGTAAAGAATCACCTGCCCAGTCGGCTTCCCCAATCAAAGAAACAGAGGAATTCTCAACACTTAACAGAGACCCAGGGCAACAGGTTTCTAGCTCCCTGTAAACTCAGAGTCCAACTCCTCACCCAACGGAGGATGGTCTGATCTTCTCTGTGGATATCAAGAGGCCACCTAGTTCATTTGAGCTGCATGTTTGTTCTCTTGCAGAATCAATCCGCTATCTGGCTTTAGCAATGAGCAAGTCATCTAGTCAAGAAAAACATCTCCAGGTATTAAATCTCTGTGCATACCGGAGCATAATGGAATCAAGCCTGAGGTACTTCAGATAAGAGAATGATTGGCTATATGGAGAGAAATAATAAAGATAAGGGAATAGTTTCCGACCATCAAAGGAATGAATCAGGAGGATTAAATATAATTCATAGGTATTACTGACACAGTAATCCTTGACGGGCGCACTGCCGGTCAAGAAGCACTAAGAGAGCCTCTAACAGCCATTTTTATTTAGTTGTATCTGGGCCATCTTTTCTGAAGAGGATTTTATTTGGTTTATAAACCTTCCTTAGCCAAGATGGCATCCAATTTTTCACACAGATGCGTAAAGATAATGCAAATAGCAATCAAGTGTTTGAATGGGAGTCAAACCAAGGGTGATGGCGAGAGGATCATTTATTTACATAATTTATTTTATTTATACTGAGAAGCAGCTTGGGCCGTGGTACTTGACGAGATCCTTTGCTCTCTCACCTTAACCCATCCCTGCATTCGGTGCAGTTGTGGAATTCCGTACATGTCTTGCAATTTTCACTGCATTTCCGGCAAAGATTTTTCTCTGTTAAAACACACACGCACACACACACACACACACAAGTAACAAGGTTATAAATGAGTTGGGCAAATGGAGTCCATCAAAGGGGATGGAGATGTTCTAAAGTTTGCTAACGTGCACAATTGTATACATACATCGCCTTGAGCAGAAAACTTCAGGAAAAGCTCTACCCTCAGCATTTGCTATCACTTCTTGGCCAAGCAAACAGAGGTAGGAACCACAGTGCTGGGAAATACTAGGGATCTCTACCATTTTGCAGACAAGAGAGCCACACCCTCTTTATTTCTTAGTTGAATAGCGTATTGGCATTTTCCCTCTTCTTTTTCTCTTTCCCAAGCAGGGTTTCCTGACTTCTGACAAAGACACTGGAATAATACCAGTATATAAGGGTAGAGAAACTGTGGCCATGGAATGGAAAGGTAAACTCCCATGCTCCCAGCATTCAGGACTACTGTGATGAAATGTTAAGAAAAGGGAATCTACATTTAAAATCGCAGGGTAAGGGTTGATGATTTATTTCTTGGGCTGTCTAGAAGAGGGTCTTGTGCTTTATGGTGGCTGGGACATTGACATGTTGTTATAGTTCAGACGGATCTATATTCTAAAGAACAGAAATATATTTGATCAACCAAATATACTACAACTGTGGCTTTCCTGTTTAACACTCAAGACAGATCCCCATTGGAAAAAAATGGCGAATGTGTGTTTATCCTATAGTGAAACATGGTGATTCGTCACACTATGTTAAGGCCTTTAACTTGAGGAAAAAGTTTTCTGGAGACTTGATACCTTCTCTGAGTTGCAGGTGGATTATAACCACACATAGATGTAGGATTGAAGGCAGCTTTGTTCATAAGATTTTTTTCCTTCATCTCCTCTTTAAATGTTGGTGTGTGATCTTCAAGGTTCCTCAGAGAAACACCGCTTTGATGGATTCCTAGAAGGACCTCTGGGAGGCCCACCCCCTCTTTCTCAACTCTGAGCCCCCTGCCATGAAACACAATCTTCTGGTAGTCTTCACATGGTCTTTCCATCACTATGTCAACCTAGATGTGAATTCTGTTTTTATTTTTATTTTTTAATGTTTTTTGTGAATTCTGTTTTTAGCATTTCCAGTGGATAAGCTCAGGGTCTCTGCTCTCCCATTTCTTAAATAAATATCACAACGATGCCGACCTCTCAGCTTGTCTTGAGGGCTTAATGAAATGACTCAAGGGAACTATATGAACTTGAAAGGCACTGTCGGCAATAATTATTACTCGTCATAATCATACCTGATCACTGTAGTATGTAAACAGACTCGTTACGGGAGGAAAATATAACAAAAGTCCATTACACAAAAGGAGAAAGATGCAAAGGCCACTCATATCAGCAAATTAACTGCTTGAACAGCTTTCCTTAATTACATACGTCCCAGGCTCTGGGAAAGCAATGGACACTCACTTATCTTGATCCGATTTTATATCATCTAGAAACAAATTTCTTTCCCAAGAATTTTGATTTTTTTTTCTTGTTTACTTCTTGTTATTATTTCTTGTTTATTTCTGTGGATCCCACAGGCCCCCTTCGCACTCTTAGTTCTCCTTTCTCTATCAGGGTGTAAGCTCATGTTCCAAATCTGGGGGGGAACAATTCAAGGAAATCCCTACCCACTGTTCTGTAGGGTCAGTTGAGAGACCCTATCTGGCTCGTGGAAAAATACGTGGCCTTGAATCAAGGCACTTTGACTTCTTAAGAAGCAACAATATCCACCTCAAAATTCTTGCCTGATTTCATAAAAATAGCTCTTGCTCATTTAAACTTGGGTATTCTTCTTTCTTAGGTTGTGCAGAAGCAGGAAATAGCGTCATCGTGTATCTGGTGTGACACAGTTGTGAGGACGAATTACCAAGTACTTTGAAATAAAGCAAAAGACCCGTGCAGCCCGTTTCAGGGCCATACCAGACCCCTAACAGGTAGGTGTGCCCAAGGTCACTTAATTCTCCAGGGAATGTACCTTTGTCTGTTTTCGTAATGATGGTGGCTTAGGGTCCAAATGCCTTGAAGTTACACATTGATTTACAGATTTTTGTTTGGTAGGGAAAGTTGCAAATGATTTCTGTTTAAAAAGAGTCTCCCCCACCCCCAGTTCTAGTGGTATTGCCATGTAGGGAATTATTTATTTTTTAATTGAAGTAGAATTAACATACAATGTTATATTAGTTGCAGTTATAGAGTATATTGATTTGGCAATTCCATATATGACTCAGGGTTCACCATGATAAGTATAGCCAGATCTGCCACCATAAAGTTATTACAGTATTTTTGACTATATCCCTGAGCTGCACTTTCCATCTTTACGATATAACCTGAAGTCTATGCCTCCTAATCCCCTTTATCTGTTTTGCCCATCCCTCCACCCACCCCTGCTCTGGGCAACCCCCCGTAGTTCTCTGTATTTAGGAGTCTGTTTATTCTTTAGGTTTTGTATTTGAGAGTCTACATGTAAGTGAAATCAGATGGTGTTTGTCTTTCTCCATCTGATGTATTTCACTTGGTGTAACACCCTAATAAGTCCATCCACGTTGTCATAAATTCTAGGATCTCACTGTCTTTTATGGCTGAGTAATAGTTCACTATATATATCTACCACATTTTTTTTTTTTTTTGGCCCTCAGGTAACAAATTTGTATAAGTTTTTAATTCCAGTGTAGTTAATAGACATGTTATATTAGTTTCAGGCCCACAACGTAGTGATTCAACACTTCCATACATGACCCAGTGCTCATCGACAATGCTCCTTAATCCTGATTGCCCATTTTTTGTCCATTCCCCACTCCCTGCCCTGTAACTATCAGTTTGTTCTCTATAATTTAGAGTTTATTTCTTGATCTCTCTCTCTCCCCTCTGCTCATTTGTTTTGTTTTTTGAATTCCACATGTGAGTGAAATCCTATGGTATTTGTCTGACTGACCTATTTTGCTTAGCATTATACTTTCTGTTCCATCCATGTTGTTGCAAATGGCAAGATTTCATTCTTTTTTATGGCTGAATGATATTCCATTGTGTATATTTGTGTGTGTGTGTGTGTGTGTGTGTATACATACAGATACCACATCTTCTTATCCATTCATCTGTTGATGAATACTTGAGTTGCTTCCATAGCTTGGCTATTGTAAATGATGCTGCAATAAACACAGATGTGCGTGTATCTTTTTAGTTTTTTGTTTTCTTTGGGTAAATACACAGTAGTGGGATTACTGGATTGTATGGTATTTCTGTTTTTAATATTTTGAGGAAGCCCCATACTGTTTTCCAGTGGTTACACCAACTTACATCCCCACTGCAGGGCATGAGGGTTCTCTTTTCTCCACATCTTCGCTAGCATGTGTTTTTTGATAAGGACTGGTGTCCTTGATCGCCGTTCTAAAAGGTGTGAGGTGATCTCTCATTGTGGTTTTGATTTGCATTTCCCTCAGTCGTGTTGAACATCTTTTCACATGCCTGTTGGCCATCTGTAAGTCTTCTTTGGGAAAATGTCTAATCAGATCCTCTGCCCATTTTTTTTGGATTGCATTTTTGGCATTGAGTTATAGAAGTTCTTTATATATTTTAGATATTAATCCCTCATCAGATGCATCATTCGCAAAATATCTTGTCCTATTCCCTAGGTTGCTTTTATTTTGTTGATGGTTTCCTTTACTGTCAAAAAGCTTTTTATTTTGGTGCAGGTCTACTACAGTGTGTTTTTGCTGCTGTTTCTTGTGCCTGAAGACACAGATCCATAAATATGTTGCTAAGGGCAATGTTCAAGAGGTTACTGCCTGTGTTTTCTTTTAGATTTTTATGGTTCCATGTCTCACATTTAGGTTTTTAACCATTTTGAGTTTACTTTTGTATATGGTGTTAAAAAGTGGTCCAGTTGCATTCTTTTGCATGCAGCTGTCCAGTTTTCCCAGCACCAGTAATTGGAGAGATTATCTTTTCCCTGTTGTATATTCATGCCTCCTTTGTCACAGATTAATTGACCAAATAGATGTTGGTTTATTTCTGGGTTTTCTATCTTATTTCAATGTGCCAGCACCATGCCGTTTTGATTACCATAGCTTTGTAGTATCTCTCAAAATCTGGGACTGTGTTACCTCCAGCTTTGTTCTTCTTTCTCAAGATGACTTTGGCTATTCAGGGTCTTTTGTGGTTCCATACACATTTTAGGATTATTTGCTGTTCTCCTGTGGAAAACACTCTTGGTATTTTGATAAGAGTTGCAATAAATCTGTAGATTACTTTGGGTAGTACAAACATTTTAACAGTGTTTTTCCAATTCATGAGCATGGTATATCTTTCTGTTTGTGATCTCTTCAATTCCTTTCATCAATGTCTTACAGTTTTCAGAATGTAGGTCTTTCATCTCCTTGATTAAATTTGTTCCTAGGCATTTTATTCTTTTTGGTGCAACTACAAATGAGAGTGTTTTCCTAGTTTCTCTTTCTGCAACTTCATTATTAGTGTATAGAAATGCCACATATTTCTGTATATTAACTTTACATCCTGAATTTCACTGATTTCATTTATCAGTTCCAATAGTTTTTTGGTGAAGCCTTTAGCATTTTCTGTGTATAGTATCATGTCATCTGCACGTAGTAACAGTTTAAATTCTTCCATACCATTTTGGACATCTTTTATTTCTTTTTCTTGTCTGACTGCTGCAGGTAGGTTTTCCAATATTATGTTGAATAAAAGTGGTAAGAATGGACATCCTTGTCTTGTTTTTGACCTTAGGGGGAAAGTTCTCAATTTTCATCATTGAGTATGATGTTAGCTATGGGTTTTATTATGACTTTTATTATGTTGAGGTATGGTCCCTCTAACCTGAGGTTGAGAGTTTTTAAATTAATGGGTATTTTATTTTGTCAGATGCTTTTTCTGTTTCTGTTGAGATAATCCATATGTTTCTTTCTCCTTCCTCTTATTTAGGTGCTATATTGATTGATTTGTGAATATTGAACCACACTTGTCTCTATGGAATAAATCCCACTTGATTGTGCTAAACTATTTTTTAAACATATTATTGAATTTGGTTTGTTTTTTTGTTTTGAGGATTTTTGTATCTGTGTTCATCAGAGATATTGGTCTGTAGTGTGTGTGTGTGTGTGTCTTTATCTGGTTCTGGGATCAAGGTAATGCTGGCCTCATAAATGAATTTATGTTTTCCTTTCTCTTCTATTTTTTGGAATCATTTGAGAAGAATCTGTATTGGTATTACCTCTTGATGAAATGTTTTGTAGAATTCACCTATGAATACATCTGGTCTTTGATTTTTGTTTGTTGGATTTTTGTCTTGTTTTCTGCTGATTCCATTTCATTACTAGTAATTGGTCTATTCAGAGTGCCTATTTGTTCCTAATTTAGTTTTGGAAATTGTATGTTACTGGGAATTTATCCATTTCTTCTATACTGTCCATAGATCATTTTTCAACATTCTCTTACAATTCTTTGTATTTCTGTAATACTATTTCTCCTCCTTGATTACTGACTTTATTTGAGTCTTCTCTCTTTTTCTCTTGATAAGTCTGGCTAAAGATTTATCAGTTCTGTTTAACTTTTCAAAGAACCAGGTCTTGGTGTCATTGATCTTTTCTTGTTTTTTGGGTTTCTATTTATATCTGCTTCTAGACTTTATTACTTCCTTCTACCAGCTTTGGACTTTGTTCTTCCTTTTTTAGTTCCTTTAGGTGTGAGTTAGGTTCTTTATATGATATTTTCCTGGTTTATGAAGGTAGGCCTATAGCACTATTAATTTCCTCTTAGAACTGCTCTTGCGGATTCCCAAAGATTTTGGACTATCGTGCTTTCATTTGTCTTCATGCATCTTTTGATTGAGTCTTTTGTTTTTTCATTGACCCACTGGTTAATGAATAGCATATTCTTTAATCTCCATGTATTTTTTTCCATTTTTTCCCCAACTCTTTAAGTTGGGAAACATGTTTGATAGGATTTCATTCTTCTTAAATACAGTGAGTGTTTTATGGCCTAACATGTATCCCAGAGAATGTGTCATGGGCACTTGAAAATAATGTGTATTGCTATCCTGAGTCTTTGTTCTTTTTTTCACTTTCATTTGCATAGTACATGTTTTTTCATATATTCACTTTCAGTCTGTATGTGTTGGTAGGACTGAAGGGAGTCTCTTGCAAGCAGCATATAGATGGTTATTTTCTTATTCACGTATTCAATCACTATATGTTTTTTGGTTGGAGCGTTTAGTTTGTTTACATTTAAGTTTTTTTTTTTTTTTTTAATCTAACAAGTGTGAGCAGGGGAGAGGGACAGAGGGAGAGAGAGACAGAGTCAACCAGGCTCCCTGTTCAGTGTGGGGCCCAACGTGGAGCTCAATCCCATGACCCTGGGATCATGCCCTGAACTGAAATCAACAGTCAGATGCTCAACTGACTGAGCCACCAAGGCACCCTAGTCTGTTTACATTTAGAGTAATTATTATAGAGAGGGACTTTTTCCCCTTTTGTGAATTATATTCTGGTTGTTTTTGTAGATCTTCTCAATTCCTTTCTTTTTCTCTTACTCTCTTGTGGTTTGACGGTTTTCCTTTGTATATGGTTGGATTCCCGTGTGTGTATGTGTGTATTACAGGTTTTTGATTTGTGGTTACCATTTGGTTCATAAATAACATGTGTACGGTTCATAATCATTTAAGTTCAAATATATACTAAAACTACCAAAATTTACTATTCCTGGCATGTTTTATGTAGGTGGTGACTTACTTTACATCTTTTTATTTTGTTCTCCCTTGGTTAATTTTTTAGATCTCGATTTCACTTTTGTGTTTTAATCTCCACAATTCTTTATAAGTGATTAATCTATTACCTTTACTGTATGTTTCCTTTTACTTACAAGTTTTTTTCTTTTATAATTTTCCTTTTGTAATTTTATGATAGGCCGTAGCAATGGCCTATTCTTTCCACTTAAATAATTTGTTTTAACATTTCTTGTAAGGCTGATTTAGTGCTGATGAACTCCTTTACCTTTTCTTAGTCAGGAAAACATTTTCTTTCTGTTTTGAATGATATCCCTGTTCAGTAGAGTATTCTTGGTTGTAGTTTTATTTTGTTTGTTTATGTGAGCACTTTGACTATAGCACGCTAGGCCCCTTTGGCTATCAGCTGATTTGCTTTCTTCTTGCTGCTTTAAAAATTCTCTTTATAATTACTTTTTGCCATTTTAATTATTATGTATCTTGGTGTGGACCTCATTATATTCATCTGGTTAGGGGCTCTTTGTACTACCTGGACCTGGATGTCTGTTGTTTTTCCCATGTTGGGAAAGTTTTCAGCTATTATGTCTTCAAATAAGTTTTCTGCCTCTCTCTCTCTCCCCTCCTTCTGGGATCCCTAAAGTGTGCATGTTATTATGCTTGATGATGCTACAGAGTTCCCCTAACCTAGTCTCATTTTTAATTCTTTATTCTTAGTGTTTTCAGCTTGGTTGTTTTCTATTACCCTGTCTTCCATATCACTGATCTATTCTTCTGCGTCTTCTAATCTGTTGTTGATTTCATTTAGTGTATTTTTATTTCAGTTGTTAAATTCTTCAGCTCTGACTGGGTTCTTTCCTTTTAAGACCCTCTGCTCTTTTCTCAAGTATCTTGGTGATCGTTACTTTGAATTCTTTATCAGATATATTGCTTATTTCCATTTCATTTAGCTCTTTTGCTGTGATTTTGTCTTTTTTTCCCACTTGGGACATATTCCTCTTTTTCCTCAGTTTTTTTCTACCTCTGTTTTTAATGTAGTGGGACAGCCAGCTACGTCTCCTGGTCCTGAAAGTAGTGGCCTGTGTACAAGTGGTCTTGTGGTGTCCTACAGGGTAATCCTGCCTGGTCATCAGACAAGGGTGTCCTCTGTGTGGCCTGCACCCCTGTTGTGGCTGAGTCACAGCTGCCTTCAGCCCAGTCTGCTGTGATGATCCACTCTGCCTACTAGGAGCGCGTGGGGCAGGGTTTGCCCCCTGTGCTCTCGAGAGGCTTGTCTGTAGCAGCCACAGGGTTGGGCCAGCAGTGAGCCTTGCTGTCTGCAGTTATCCCCTCGGCCGCAGCTACAGGTGCACTGAAGGGTAGGGCTTCCTTCTTGCCCAGCCAGCTGTGAGGCTCCACAACAGGAAAGGCAAGTGTGTTGTCATGTGGGCTGATCTCCTATCCAGGGCATGAGTCATTTTGGAGTGGCGCCCTCCAAGCGGGTCTGGTGAGACAGAAGCCACTTTGTAGGGAGGACTGCTGAGTTGGGGTGGACGGGGAAGGGCGCATGGTGCTATAGCCAAGTAGATGGAGAGTGTTGATGCCACCTCTCCCAAACATCCAGCTATCTAGGGCTGGGGGAAGGGGAGGGGAATGGCACCCACCAGCACTTTTGTTTCTAGAGCAATATTCTCTACATCCCTGCCCCACCAGGACAGATTAGTCACCACATCTCCTTCATGTGTAGCCCAGTGCTACTTCTGCGCTTTCTTGGCTGAGTCACTTAGTATGCAGGGACTTTTAAGGAGGGGACTCAGTTTCCTATTGCCCTCAGGCTCTCCTGGAACAAAGTTGCATGAAAGTTAAGATGTGCTGGTTTTTAAAGACAGACGTTGGGGGAGCCCATCTTCCCAGTGCTGGGGGTGCCTAGTGTGGGCTCAGATTGTCTTGCTCCTTCATGCCTGTGATGTCCCTCCTGTTTGTAGGGTGAGTGGCACCAGGGGTTTGCTTTCTACCCAGGTCTCCATTCTTCATCCCCTTTTGAGCTGGCCTTCTCTCTCGAATTAACTGGGGAAGGTCTGCTCTGCCAGGTTTCCGGTCATTTTCAGAGCTGGTGGTACAAATGTGGCTTCTACCTCAGTGTGTCTGAGGGACAAGGTGAGTTCAGGACCCTCCTACGCTACCTCCTCAGCTCTCTTTGAAAATTATTCAGTTTTGTCTGTAACTCAGCAAACAGATATCATTTTGCCTTTCCTAGTGGACTGTCTAGAATATCTGATAGGCTTCGCCTCCATTCATCACTTTGTAGGTTTCCTCATTGACGGCTCTTCATGTCATTGACATGTGTTTATTCCATATTCACATGGAAGTGTTGTTTCCTAATCTTTTTGAAAAATACACCCTGATACCCATAGGCCTGATTCCTTTGGTTAGTGTGTAGAAAAGAGAAGGCTTGGCCGCTTGCCTTTGACAGTCTGCTGACATTGGCCTGTGGCTAGTATCTGGGAACTTGGATTTCAGGAGGGTTTCTACCACCCTAACTGATATGTGTGGCTCATGCAGCTTAAACTGTACAAACAATATGGTTTATGCTGGACATCTGTTTTCCTTATGGGAGTCTGGAATTTTGTTGTGTGTCAGGTAGAGGGCGTCTTCATGACCACAGCCATGGGCCCTGAGACTCTGACGAGGTTCCCTGGGAGACTGCATTTCACCTATGTTGTAATAAATTGTTGCTGGAGGCTTTAAATGCATCCTGTGTGACTTCCCCGGGACAAAACTCTCGGACGCTTGTGCCGTTTTCTGCGGACCTGGTCCTACATGCCTCTTCCTGATTTTATTTCATGCCTTTTTGCTGTGATAAGTTGTAACGATGAGCTCGTGAATACAGATATACTAAGTCTTGCGGGTCCTCGTGGCCAATCACTGAATCTGGGGATGGGCCTGAGGACGCCCTGATACTGACAAGCATTTTTACATAAATTATCTTGTACAGAAACTGTTACAAATTCACTTTTACAATTCTAACATGTTCTCTTAAAAGTTGGTTAGATCCTGTTTGACATAACCTCGATTTCCCTTCTAATGTCATTCAAATGAAAACCTTGTCTTTCCTCTCTGATTCGCAAATATTGGCCCTCTACTCACTGGTGTCCTGGTATGAGCCGTCGGGGCAGTGGGTAACACAGCTGTTGATTTCTTCATCAAGGAAGTATCCGTATTTACAGGACAGACACTGGTCACCGTGGCTCCCAAAGCAGGACTCGCAGTTGGGGGCACACTTTCTGCATCGCTTCTTGTCGGCGTGGTAGTTGCCGGGGGGGCAACTGGAGACACAGACCCTGGTTGTGGGATGAGAGGAAAGGAGGGCAGCAGCATGAGAGAGTCGGTGCACTTAGAAGCTCAGCGAACAGTGGGCCTCAGTCTTAAAACCCTTTTTAAACAATTATGGTAACACCATAACCAAAGAGCCAATTCCTGTTGGTTGAAGCTTTGTCCCCGAGGAGGGAGCTGAGGTAGCAACGCAATCACACGACATCAAGTCTGCCAAGCGGGGCATGTCTCCGTCCAAACCATCTTCCAGTCCGGATCTAGCTCTTTAAAGGGGATGATGGTTCGAAATGGAGTCTCAAGAGGAAGGTAGGAACACTGGGTTGAAGGGAAGTTAGGTGGCAACCGTGACACTACACAAAGAGGTTGCTAATAAGGGGCTACTTCCGGTTCTGTGTGTTGTCATATGGATCCCACTGTGTGCTAGTGGGAGGGTGGTTTGCTATCGTCAAAATTAATATAAATATATTTAAACTTGGTTGGTTATGATCAACTTAAAAAAAATAACTTCCTCGTTTGCCCACAGTCAAAGGACGGCACTTTATTGACTCCTTCAACAAATATTTACGGAGCACCAAATCAACTGTCAGCCATTTTGCTGGTCTACGGTAATGAGAGGTACTGAAGGAGCCAAGGGCCTCTCCTTGAAGGGATTTAAATTCCAGCATGGATGTAAACAGGAACTAGAACATGTCTGGGTGCGTCTGCATGACTGAAGTGTGGATTTGCTGCAAGTCAGCTCCCTTGGTTAAGTTTTCCCTGAAGGAGGAAGGCAAAGGGGTCAGGGCTGTGAGCGGGGCCTCCAGGGCATGGCCTCTGATGGGCCACACTGTCTTCAGAAGCCAAGGGCTCACAGTTACAGAGTCCCATCAGGTCGCCCTCTGCCCAGAGGGCAACGGTGAGGAGAAACCGGACGCAGCAGCTTTGCCACATCAAGGGCTTGCATAATGGGGACCGCGGGACAGCACCTGTTTGGCCCTACATGGGCATGTCGTGAAGAGCAAACATAGCTGTAGCATCAGACATCCACAGAATGGAAAGGTCTCGAGGGGGAAGACCAGTCAGTCCCGTGTGGAGCTAGTCCCTCCCCACCATCCTTCCAAATATGAGAACAGGCGTTTGAGCCGGACAGCATACAGGTGCCCTTTGATGCAGTGTCAGCTTCTCCAGGCCAGGAGGTGGTGGTCGGCCAGTGCTTGGGTCCCAGTGGCTGAACATCACAGATGCTGTTCAAGTGCACCCCGTGGGAGCCCCCAGGGCATGCTGGGGGAGGGGGTCTGACTCAGCGTCTGTTCTTACCTGGTGTTGTTTTTCAGTTTGTAGTAGTAGTGCAAGCAGTCACTGCAGTGGTCCGGGCCTGGTCCGTCACAGCCAACCTCGCTGCACTCAGGGTCACAGGGGCCTTCGCACAAAAATTGAAAACAACACTTGGAGACCGTGGTCTGAAAGCAGGTCAGTTTTACCTTGAATTTGGTATAAAATAAGACTTTTGTGTTTTCTTCCTGCAGTGAGAGTTTCTTTAATATGGCTGTCGGCCCAGAGATGAACTCTTGACTTTTGGTGGGGGAGGGGAACCTCAATTACATAAGTATCAAGAATATAAATCCAGTCATGGTCTGGTCTTCAAAAAAAGCACATATGGCTGCCTTGTGGGAGATAACAAAAATCTCAGAATTCGAATGAACAAAGCCACTGTAGCAAGTGGGAAAGCACTGACTGCAATTAAATATGCATAATGATAAAAACGTCAGATTTATAGAAAAATGAGAAGCTAAGCTGTTGACAGAAAAGAAAGCAAATTTATTATTCAATGCCTAGAGCAGATTGTCTGGCTTGCCCAAGGTCATTAAAACCACTGAATACCTCTGAGATACTGAGCCAGCAAGAAACATCATTATGGCATCTGGTGCAAGCTTATCGGTATCTGGTCTTGGATTACAAAGCAGGTACTTGAGGCACAGAGAATAGATTTAAAATTGCGTCCTACCCATAGGCCAGTGGGCAGCTCAACAAAAGAAAACTACACATAAATTTTAAAAAATGCAAGCGAGTTTCAAGAATTCCAGACTTAGGATCAAGGTTGCTAATCGCTCGTGACATATTCTTTGGGACAGAGTTAGAGAGAATGCCCAGGCAGGGGGGTGGGGCGGGGACCCAAAACAGAAAGATGGAAGTTTTTATAATTGATGCAAAGCTTTTTAATGACATGCGCAAGTTATAGGCCTGTTGCTTGCTTGAACTAATTCCCTGTTTCCTCGTTCTCCACATTTTAGGACATTTGGTCTCATAATCTTCAAGCTCTTGCCTGCTGAAAAGTCACGTGATTTTAACTAGCAACAAACATAGTGCGTGGAATGTACAAACAGTAAGTTGATACATCAGAAATGTCTGAACCGTATTTATTTTAATCAAAAGGATTTACTGGTGAACCTTGATCTCCCTTAGTCATTATGGGACTGTGTCCTACAGTTACCGAGTTGAAATGTAAAGTGGTAGAAACAGGGAGGAAAGACACAGAGAAAAATCTCTCAGTTTTCCGGTGAGAAAACACGCTTTCCAAGCGGTAGAGTGGCTTGGCCAGTCCCCTCTGAAAGGGTAGAAAATCAGGTCCTAGAGAGGACCTTGAAATAGATTTCTGAGTAGTCACAAGAGTCCTTTGACAGCACTGCTTATGTCTGTTTCCTCTGAGCCTTAAAACTGACCTCTAAATAAAATTCCACAGCTAGGACAACTTGGGACACTGCAGCTACCTGCTCTGATCCATGAGGAGAGGGTATCTCTGTGGTGTTGTATAAGGGGTGAGGTTGAGCCAGCTGTGGGTCCTTGGAATCTGATGAAACGTTACAGGGATCTGGTTATGATAATGCCATCTGCGCCTCTAGACAGGCTGGCTTCTTCATGAAGGTGAAAGTCACAGCTCTGAAGGAAAGGAACCCTGGGTGGCCCTCAATTTTCACCAGATGATTTCTGCAATTAAAAAAACACCCCCAAACTTACTCTTGATACATGCCAAAGGGCTCGGCAGGGCAAGTGCACATACTGTGCTGTTTCTTTTATAATCTTAAACCGTCCCAGATGCAGTTGAGCATTTTAGTTTGCAAGGTAATAAAGAAATAATCGTCTTTGTTCTCTAACAAGTGCCAGTGTGGACGTTTTAGAAATGGAAGGAGAAAAACCATGAACTGTTTGTTCAGAATTTTAACGTTACCAAAATTTGAATTGGAAACATACCAGAAGGCGGCATAGAGCAACAGGTAATTACTCTGCTCAGTTTACGTTTTTGGATATCCTTTCTCCTATCAGAGAAGATGAAATGGTTTGCTAGCTATAATGTGAATAGTGATGTTACAAGCTCAAAGCAAAATAGGACAAGATTTAACACAATCAAGCTCTCATTAGCCCAACTGGATTATCCAAACTTATGATGGACTCTGGGATACTATCTGTTTAGAATAGAAGGCACCACATGCATGTTTAAGATATTCTGTTAAGGTAATTAATGAAGTAATTTCATCTTTAGTATCGAGAAAAAGAATCTCAAAGAGCTCCAGAAAAAGAAACCAATTCTCATCTAAAGGCACATTAAACTGCTCTTGACAAACAGTTCTCTCTTAGGCGAAGCTTTATTCATTAAGTATTATATCCTATCCCAGAAAAACTGAATGCTCCTATAAATGGTAGTCAATGCAACAAGACAAATCAGAGATATACCTCAAAGGAGGAACAACAATTACAGCTGATATGGCTACCATACCTAAACTGCCCCAGAAAAATAAACATATAAATTAGAGAGTTGAGCAGAATGGCCAGATATAAGATAAATATGCAACAGCCAATAGGTTTCTTAGATACCAGCATATACTGGTTAGAAAAAAGGCCTCTTTTCCATCACAATAGCAACAAGACCCCAAAATACATACGAGTAATACATACAATGACAAGATCATGGTGTGTGTTTCTGATGGAAAGACTGTATATTGTAAACACATTTCTTACCCCCCGCCAAAAATAAAAACAAAAACAAAAACAAAAAACCCAACCAATGATCATGAGATTGCATGTAAATTCAAAATTAAAATTCCAATAGGATCTTTATAGGTGGACTTAAGAATTGCTATGAAAAACAAGGAGCAGATGTTCGACAGATAATAAATCCGAGGGTGGGTGCTACTGGATTAAGAATTATTAGACTGAAAAATCAGAACGGGGATATACTACTAGAAAAAGCCCAAGTGAGATCTGAACCTATAAACCCTACCTCCACTTTTCTTTTTCTGTCCAAACAACACCATACAACCTAAGAGCCACAACTTGGAAGCAAGCAATAACTGGGAAGCTGTTTTCAGCAAATATAGTAGTCCCTCCTACTTACCTGCGGAAGACACCTTCTAAAACCCCAAGTGGATGCCTGAAACCATGGATGGAGAGTACCAAACCCTCTATCTACTCTGTTTTTTCCTGTACGTACATACCTGTGATGACATTTAATTTATAAATAAAGCACAGTAAGATACTAACAATATAGAACAATTATATCCATATGCTGTGATAAACGTATGTGTATGTGTTCTCTCTAAGTATCTTGTATGGTACTTACCCTTCCTCTTGTGACAAAGTGAGATGGTAAAATACCTCCAGGGTGAGACGAAGTGAGGTGATGCGGGCATGGCAAGGTAGCATTAAGCTGCTATAGCTCTGAGGACAGACCAGATGAAGGGATCATCTGTTTCCTGACCATTGATGAAACCACTGATAAGGGGCAATTACTGTATGAGAATATGTGGGGGACAATAACATACAAAGAGTTCTTATAGATAAGAAAGTTGCTGCCTATTTGAATAGAAAAATGGGTAAAACACCATGGTATTTAACTCCCAGAACTACAGAGGAAGACCTGTTTAGATTTACTAACACTCAAAGGTATAAAAATTTTTAAATGTTCTGTTCTTTTACTTTTTTCTTTCCACTCAATGTTGGCAGGGATGAGTGTAATAAATGCACAGCTGGTCACAGCGTGGACTGGTACATCTTGTCTGGAAAGGAATGTGACAAAATGCGTCCAGGCCCTCAAACTGCTTATTCCCTTTGATGCAGTAACGCTAGGAACTCTATTCTAAAGAAATAATTAAAGATATAAACAAAGACTGATAAAACCAAACCTTATTTCAAACAGTGTAAAATTCTAAGCAAATTACACATCCCAGGTTAAGTATTAAATATAGCACGATCATAGGATGCACTATGATGCTGTCTTTTAAATATTTCTTGTGAGGCTATGTGACAACAGGGAAATATGTTCTTAATAGCCACAAGAGAAAGAAAATGGATATGAAAACTATAGACCGTGTGCTTTATAGCTTTGAAGGAAAAAAAACCAATCTGAATATACACAAATATCTGGGGGATAGAAAAGAAGATGGGAAAAAGAAACTGTCAGAATATGGGTTGAAGCTGATTTCCGCACGGTGGGGTGGTGTGTGAGATTTTTCCTTCGCCTGTGTCCCTGTTGGAAGCCAGCTCACCTGCATAATCCTCTGCACCATAGTCATCGGTGGGGTCTTCGACGCGGCTATAGCGGACACGTTCTACCTTCGGGAACTCGTTGGTTGGGGAATATGGCTGCACGGAGGTTCCATAAAGGACCAAAGACCATTCTTTCAATTTCCCTTGAGAAACAACGGAACCATAGCGTGACCACACGTTCACTTTTTAGCTTTACAATTTAATTCCTTCTCATCTAAGAAAAAGCAACAGTAGACGAAATGTGAAAAGCCTCTTCATATGAGCGTTGCATCAAGTGTACAGCAAGAAATACACATTTTCCATCATTTGCAGACTGAACTAATTTGCATATCACATATTTACTGAGCAGCAACTATAGAATAAGTCTTGATAGAATCAGCATTTATAAGAAGACAGAAATGAACACATTTTAGAGAGGTCTTCGGTTTAAGTATAAATGTCTTATATGAAATTAAAAAATTGTTTTATCTGACTTATCAATAAGACAGAAAAATTACTTTGTTCCACCTGACGTAGTCATTTAATCTTAAGAAAATATCACTATTCGTATTATGCTATAGACCTGAGCTGTTCAGGGATACCCCTTGAACACATTTGGCTATTTATCTAAAATTTAAAAGTTTTGTTCCTCAGTCATACCACATTTCAAGTGCCCAAGAGACATATGTGGCTAGTTGGCCACCACAACAGTGAGCACAAATATAGGACAGTCCTACCACTATAGAATGTTCTAGTAGACAGTACTGTACTGAGGCATTTTCTGGTCAAGGGTGCCTTGACACAAAAGGTAAGTATTTTACCTCCTTTGCATAGAAGGCTCTCAAAGAACATTTTGTTTTAGCTTAGTCCTTATTTGTTGATTTCTTACTTTTTGCACTAGTTTTATAAAGCTAAGAAAAAAAGAACTGCTTGCAGGTCATTAAGCTTAATAAGATTCAGATAAAAATAAGCATCAACCATCAGCAGAAGTGATTAAGACAAAACGATTAAAAATGTGGAAGTGTGCTGGTAGGAAGCAGGAACTCTCTGAAGGTCCCTCCCCAACTTAGCCTAATACAGAGAATCCAGTCTTGGTGGGGGCGAGGGTTCTGCCACAGCCCTGAGAGTGGTGAACTTTCAGTGATCAAGTATCGGCTGATCATCTATTAAATTTTAATTCATTCAGGGTTTGCAACAATTGGGAGGTAGGTACTTGACTTCCCAAAATATAGATGAGGAAACAGACATAGAGGATGCTAATTTCTCCAGAGGCAGTAAGAGTATGGACTGCTTTTGAAATCTATCGGGGGCGGGGGGGAGGGGGGGGGAGGTCCAGGATAAGAGGATAATGCAGGAAAATCCTGAACCCACCTCTTCCTATGGACTCACTGAATCTACAGCTACATAGGGAACAATTTTCTCTGAAAAAGAAAACAAGAACTAAGACTAGCTGAGTGGTTACTACATGGTAGGCAACCAACCAACCCACACGAAAGCAGGTAAGGGTAGTTGAGACACAACTACCCCGGCACTGTGACCCACAATCAGAAGGACTCAAACCCCCAGATTTCTCCCCAAGAAGAGATTTGAATCTCATATTGGGTACCCCAATTTTTAAGACCTATACCTGAGAAGAACCTCCCAAACATATATTGTATACAGGGCTTGAGACTCCCAAGGCTCTAGTCAACTGACTAGTTCGTAAAGAGCTTGCATGTGTATGGGCCCACCCACTCCAAGTCTCAGTGCAAAGGCAGCAAACTGAAAACCGCACTGTAGTATGTCACTATTTGCACATGACATGGTACTATGTATGAAAAACCAAGGCACCACCAAAAAACTATTAGAACTAATCAGGAAATTCACGAAAGTTGTAGGACTCAAAAATCAATAAACACAAATCTTTTACATCTCTAGACACTAATAATAAACTATTAAAAAAAGAAACTAAGAAAATCCCATGTATGACTGCATCAAAAAGAATAAAATGCTTAGAAATTTCACCAAGGGGGTGAAAGCCCCGTACACTGAAAACTACAACACACTGTTGAAAAAAGTGAAGACACAAATAAAGAGAAAGATAATTTGTGCTCGTGGAGGAGAAGAATAATATTGTTAAGACGTCCATACTCCCCCAAGCAACCTACAGGTTCAGTGTAATCAATATTCCATTAGCATTTTTCATAGAAACAAGCATTCCTAAAATTTTTATGGAATCACAAAAGGTCAGATCACTCCACAAAGGCATCATGCTTTCAGATTTCAAGACATACTATAAAGCTATGGTAATCAAAACACTATGGTATTGCCATAAAACAGACACGCAGATCAACAGAGCAGAATAGAGAAGCAAGAAATAAACTCATGCACGTTCTCTCTCAAAAATAAACATTTAAAAAAATGGATTAAAGGGCTGAGTGGCTCACTCGGTTAAGCGTCTTACTTTGGCTCAGGTCATGATCTCACAGTTTGTGAGTTCGAGCCCCACACTGGGCTCTGTACTGACAGCTCAGAGCCTGGAGCCTGCTTCGGATTCTGTGTCTCCCTCTCTCTCTGCCCCTTCCCTGATCATGCTCTGTCTCTCAAAAATAAATAAATGTTTAAAAAAATTTAAAAAAACGGATTAAAGATTTGAACATAATACCTGGAACCATAAAACTTCTAGAAGTAAACACAGGTGGTAGGCTCCTTGCTATCAGTTTTGGTGAGAAGTTTTTCGGATTTGACCAAATGCAGAGGCAACAAAAGAAAAATAAACAAGTTGGACTGTACCAAACTAAAAAGCTCTGCACAGCAAAGGAAACCATCAACAAGGTAAAAAGGCAACCAACCTCGTGAATGGGAGAGAATATCTGCAAATCCTGTATCTCATAAGAGGTTAATATCCAAAATATAGAAAGACCTTGAGGCTACAACTCAATGTCAGATGAAAACGTGGGTAGAGAATATGAATAGACATTTTTGTGAAGACGACACACATGTGCCTAACAGGTACGAGAAAAGGTGGTCAACATCACCAGTTTAGGGAGATGCAAATCAAAACCACAATATCACCTATTAGAATGGTTGTATCAAAAAGATGGGAAATGACAAGTGTCAGAGAGGATGTGGAGCAAGGGGAACCCTCATGCATTCTTGGTGGGAAAGCAAATAGGTGCAGCTGTGATGGAAAACATGGAGTTTCTTCAAAACATTGATAACAGAATTGCTATATGATTCAGTCATTTCATTTCTGGGTATTTATCTGAAGAAAACAAAAGCATTAACTTGTAAAAACACATATACCCCCCATGTTTAGTGCAGCATTATTTACCATTGCCAAGATCGGGAAACAACCTATGTGTTCACTGGTGGGTAAATAAATAATAAAAATGTGGTATTTTTATCGGTGGTCATAATACAGTGGAATAATATTCAGCCATAAAAAGGAAGGAAATCTTGCCGTTCACAGAAACATGGCTGGATCTTGAGTGAATTGAAATGTCAAAGATAAATGGTATATGTTCTCATTTATAGGCTGAATCTCAAAAAAAAACAAAAACAAAAAACCCACCAAAGAAACCTGAGCTCAGTAATACAGAGAATAAAGTGGTTGTTGCAAGTGGTTGGGGTGTTCAGAGGTGGCTGAGATGGATAAAAGGGGCCAGAGTGTACACACTTCCAGTTATAAAACAAATAAGTGCCGGGGATGTAATGTAAAGCATGGTGGCTATAGTTAGTAATCGTATCCTGTAGATTTGAAAGCTGCTGAAAAAGTAGATTAAGATTTTTCATGACACGAAAAACATTGTTAACTATGTGAGCTGATGGAAATTAGATTTCCAGTGGTGATCATTTTGCAATAGGCACAAAAATCAAATCATCAGGTTGTATGCCTGAAACTAATAGAATGTTACCTATCAATTACATCTCAAAAAAAAAAAAAAAAATCCACCCAGAGTCTGAATGCTGTATTCCTAAGCCATTATGTAAGACTGTCCTCCTGTTCACTTCCAGGAGGTCAGAAGCTTGAAGTTTAAAAAATGAGCCCATTCTGTGCCACGTTCATTGTTTTCTGACAGCTACACTGGGCCAGCACGTTGGTTTACATGGGGTTTGCCCTCTGCCAGCTTTTCTTTGGACTCATTTGTTCATGACTATGCTTTTCATAGTTAGGGTGCTGTTCACTCTTGGAATTCCGAGCAGTCCCTGTGAAGTAGTGGCAAGGAATGAATGACCCCCTGAAATTCATGGGCTGGTTGCCTTGACACAGTGATGCAAAACAGAACACATTTTTCCCATGGCATCTCTAAGGTATACAAATGGGGCATATAATGCAAGGACACTATAAGAAATCCAATCCATCTGTCATCCTAAAGCCTGGCTCATTTAACTTAAGATCAGTTTGGATCTAAAAGTTACCTTTGTAGAGTACAGGGAAGAATGCCGACTCATAACTGGTTATTTCCATTTGTGTCATTTCTGAACTATCTCCTAAGCCCGCTGGGGACATACTTGTTGGGCAATTCATTATGTTTCATTTATTATGTAATCTTATTTCCTTAGAATCTGCTGTAATTCACATCAAGCAGTGCCATATTTGGGCCATCATTTCTTCCCCTCCTACGACTTTTTCCATTTGTTAAACTATTTAGGAGATGTTGCAGTTGATGCTTCGACATTCTGATAAGAAATAGCTGTGTAAATGCAGAAGGAGAAAAGTCGATTCTACGTGTTGGGACACCAGTGCCATCTGTCCAAGAAAGAAAACCCAAGGCCGGTCTAACGTGTAACAAAAATCAAAGACAACACCACCAACAGAGAAAACCCTTTAAAAACCCCTTACTGTGGACTTCTGGTCTAAGGTGGTGATGTAAGAAGACCCTGAACTCACCTCTTCCACAGACACACCAAATCTGTACCTGCATATAAAACAATTTTTCCTGAAATGGAATGGAGTGCCGACTGAATAACTTACGCACAAGAAAAGACCATGTGGGGAATGACAAGAGAGAGAAGACATAGTAATGAAGGGAACTCTCCCCCTGCCTTGGCCCAACACTGTGAACTGCAGCAGTTTATTTATTTATTATATTTTAAGTTTGTTTGGGGCGGGGAGGGAATGAGAATGAGTGAGGGAGGGGTAGAGAGAGAGAATTCCAAGCAGGCTCTGGGCTGACAGGGC